GGCCTTTTCCAGCTCTGTCACCTGCACTGCCAGGGCCTTTTCCAGCCCTGTCCCCAGCACCGCCAGGGCCTTTTCCAGCCCTGTGACCCACACTGCCAGGGCCTTTTCCAGCCCTGTGACCCACACTGCCAGGGCCTTTTCCAGCCCTGTCACCCACACTGCCAGGGCCTTTTCCAGCCCTGTCACCCACACTGCCAGGGCCTTTTCCAGCCCTGTCCCCAGCACTGCCAGGGCCTTCTCCAGCCCTGTCACCCGCACTGCCAGGGCCTTTTCCAGCCCTGTCCCCTGCACTGCCAGGGCCTTTTCCAGCCCTGTCCCCAGCACTGCCAGGGCCTTTTCCAGCCCTGTCACCCGCACCGCCAGGGCCTTTTCCAGCTCTGTCCCCAGCACTGCCAGGGCCTTTTCCAGCTCTGTCACCTGCACTGCCAGGGCCTTTTCCAGCCCTGTCCCCAGCACTGCCAGGGCCTTCTCCAGCCCTGTCACCCACACTGCCAGGGCCTTTTCCAGCCCTGTCCCCAGCACCGCCAGGGCCTTTTCCAGCCCTGTCCCCAGAACTGCCAGGGCCTTTTCCAGCTTCCCAGCTGCTCCTCCCTGAGCCTGCAGTGTCCCATGGGCTCACAAGGAGCTGGCCCTTGGCCTTGCTGGCCCATGGATCCCTGTGCAGAGCCTTCCTGCCCTCCAGCAGATCCACATCCCACCAGCTCTGTGTCTGCAGCTGCCTGAGGGTGCCCTCCATCCCCTCAGCCACATCCCTGGTAAAGATAAAAATATTAAACAGAGCTGGGCCCAGTACTGAGCCCTGGGGAGCCCCACTGGTGACTGGCCACCAGCTGGATTTCATTCTGTTCCCTCCTTTCTGGGCCCAGCCTTCCAGCCATTCACTTTCCAGCCTTTTTTTCCTTTTCTTGGGTTGAAATCATTCCTGTTCTGTGCAGGAGCTAGGAAGGAGGAGGGTTTTTTTTCTGTGCTCTTCCATCACTTATCAGTGATAGAGTGGCACAGATCCCTGGGCATGCTGCAGAATTTGGGGGAAGCAGCTGAGAGCTTCTGTCATGCACAGTGAACAACATCCAAATTGTGTTTGGATCCTGGATTCTTGTTTGGATCCTGGATTCTTGTTTGGATCCTCAATTTTGTTTGGATCCTCAATTTTGTTTGGATCCTTGATTTGAATTTGGATCCTAGATTTGTGTTTGGCTCCTCAGTTCATGTTTGGATCCTTGTTTGGTGCTTGGATCCTCTATTTGTGTCTGGATCCTTTTTTGTGTTTGGATCCTTGGTTCATGTTTGGATCCTTTTTTGTGTTGGATCCTTGCTTGGTGTTTGGATCATGCTCCCCCTCAACAGGAAATGTTTTTCAAAGGATTTTAAAAATAACCACAACACATAAATATTTGTGTCTTTGTGGAAAGTTGCTGTTTCTTACTGCTTTGGGGGCTTGCTCACATCACATCCTATCAATTATGTTTACTGAAGCTGCAGCTTCCTACTGCCTGTGCCATTCCTCCTGTGTGGAGTGCCCCAAGGAAATGTTCACACTTGCTGGTTCCTGGCCCTCAGGAGCTCTGTATTTACAGGGTGATGCTTCAGTGATGCTGTGCCTGGAGGGGTGCTTTGTGTGCCATGCAGTGGCAATGTTACCCCAGGGGCAAACTCAGAGTACACAGGCAGGAGAGAAAGAAAACAGTGATGGAAGTACAGGTAGGCTCTGAGCTCCCCATGTTCACTGGCTGACAGCTTTTCTTTCAGGAAAAGGCCTTTGCCAATATTATTCACAGAGTGGCATGAAGGGAATTGAAATATTTATATTATAATAAATATGATTTTGTTCTGTGCTTTGCTGCAAGTGCAGTGATGCTCCTTCAAAGACAGTGACTTCAACACAGAGATCTGCTTCGGAGGGCAATTGAAATGTGTTTGCTTCCACAGGTCACTCCCTAAATTTTGGATCCAATATCCTTTAAATCCACTTGCTCTTTGGTTTGCACATTGACTGTCCTTGTTCCAGGAGTGGGATCAGTGGTGGGTGCTGCTTCTCTAAGCTCCTCTGCTGGGCCAACTGCTTTAACACTGCAGGTTTTCCTCTGTGCCTGAAGCGTTTCTTTAATATCCCCTTTTATTTGCAAATACATTGGATTAAGGACTGTTCATGTATATAAGCCCGAGCTTTCTTATCAGAGACAAAAGAGTTAAAATATGGGAATGAACTGAATGAGATGGCTCTTAAGGTATGTTCCTTTCTCAAAGGATGTTGACTTTGGGGACGGGAAAGATAAAACAAAGTTTCTTTGTGGTATGGAATAATAGAAAATATATTTTCTAAATTTTTGTTTCTCACTTTAGGAATAATCTCCTTCCTAATTCTTTTTGCTGGATTCGAACAACCTCTTCCTTGCCTTGCTAGGGCACAAAGTGCCCTTGCTGTTGTCTGGTTCTCCTCCATCTCCCCCTCTACCGTGCTTTTCCAGGCTTCCATGGGCAGCATGAGGCACCGAAGGAATGGCAATTTTGAGAGCTCCAGGCTCCTCTATTCCAGCATGTCTCGCAGCATAGACGTGGCTTGCAGCGATGCTGTGAGTACCTGGGACATTCTGCTGTCTTGGGAGGGGCCACAGTGGTGAATTCGCTCAGGCCAGGGCAGGATGTGATGGATTTGTCACTTTCCCCTTTGTGGAGACACTTTCCTAACCAGTGCTCACCTCAAGCAGCAGCTGACACGGTTAAACCCTGAGGGTTTATTGCCTTCCTTTTGAGCCCTGTAGCTCTTCATTGTGCTTTCTCCATCACTTCTGGTTTTAAACTGTGTCCCACGTGGCAGCAAGAGACAAATTTGTCTGTGTAAAGAACCAGCTTGATGGCCAAGGCAGCCAACATGTGGTTCTGTTAAACATCCTTTCATGCCTGAAAGATTGCTGACTCCAGCAATTGTGTCGCAGATTCTTTGCTCCTGATGGGTTTGCAGAACGCCCTAATATGGCCAATCCTTAGGACTTCAGCAATTGCTTCCCTCTCCTTTTATTTTTTTGGTCTTGCACTGTTGTGACTTTTACTGGTTGAATGCGTTCCCTTCCATTTTCCTTGGTTTGGATATAATGCTTGTAATGTTTTTTTCGGCTTGGAATAACTTTTTCTACCTGCTGTTTAACCACAAGTGCTGTGTCGAACAACTGAACTATGGCTGCCTGTCTTCCCTTTGTGTCCCAGGTGAAATCTTGCCCTGCAAATCTAACTATACTTAAAAGCAAACAAAAAACCCCCAACATTTCATGAGCAAGTGAGAATTTCTCTTTGCTTTCTTAGCTCACAGAGGCAGATGAGGGATGAATTTGAGTTTCAAGGTTAATAGCAGAGTTAATGGTTAAACAAGCTGGAGAGACTTCACATTTCACTGAGCTCCCATAAAGGAGGACTTGAAGTTGTTCTGAGCTCCTGCTGGGGTCTGTGTGTTGAATTAAAACAGCCCCTACCCTAAAGAATGTTCCAGTGTTCTCTTTTTTACCTTTATTTTTTCTTTTTACCATTGGGAAGAATGTTTGCCATAGTGTTTTAAGCAGTATCTTTGTGTTCACACTGACTGTGATGTTACTGAGGTCTCTTCTGTTTTGTGAGTTATCAGAAATAAACTTCTAAAATTTATCTTCCAGGATTTGGCCAACTTCATCCAAGAAAACTTTAAGAAGAGAGAATGTGTCTTTTTTACAAAGGACACCAAGTCCATGTAAGGAGATATTTTTCTCTTGTTTTTCAAGAATGGGGGGCTGGTGCATGAGGGGATTTCTGTCTGCAAAGGCAGGGAGAAAAGTTTGGGGTTTTTGTTCAGAGCTTGAATCTAGCAGTGCAATCTCACCTCAGTCCCATTGTTTGAGTCACTCCACAAGTAACTTGATGCAAAACTAGGGATCTCATCTTTCAGCAGCTGTGTCACAGGGTTTAATATCAAATTCCCTATTTGAAGCATACCTGGGGCAATGGGATGCTTGAAGGATGCAGCACTGATATTGGTGTATGGCAAAGTGTATGCATGAGAGGTTTGCATAATTTAAATTTTCCTTTTATCAAATCACAAATTTCATGCACAGGCACTAAGTTTTGCTCAGGCTGATGTTCTCTTAAGACAGGGCATTAAACTGGCTCCATTTTCAGGCACAGGTACCAGTGCAGTGCTGGTTTGAGGACCATAATGCTGCTTTGTGGTTTTGGGGTGGTTTTTTTGTCTCAGGAGAAAAGTGATCAAACAAATACAGCTGCAGAAATGCTGATATTGAGCTCTGAGGGCTCTCTGACACCACTCTTCTCTGAAGCTGGGAGGGAAATTAGTCTCATTTCAGAAAGTCTCACTCAGGGTCCTCCTCTGCCACCAAAAATGGGATGTCTGGCAAGGCACCAACAATGGATGGAGGAGCTGGTGCTCATCAGCTTCTCTTCCTGCAAGCCCTCTGGGAGAGGATTGCAGGACTTGCTGGGTTATTTTTGTCTAGGTATTTTTAAGGTAAGCTGGTTTCATTTGCAAGGTACAGCAGAGTACAAGAAACCTTTCCAAAGGAGACAAGCAGTTCCCCCTGCTCCATGTCCTGTGTGGAAGCAGGAATGCGGGCTGTGGAGAGGACCTTCAAAACCAAGTCAGCCCAGCACCACCACTAAAGCATGCCCTCAAGTGCCACATCCATGTGATTTTGGAATACTTCTAGGGATGGTGGCTGCACCACCACCCTGGGCAGCCTGTGCCAATGCCTGACACCCCTTTCCATGCAATTTTTCCCCCCTGATATCCAATCTGAACTTCCCCTGGCACAACCTGAGGCCTTTTTCACCTGTCCTGTCACTTGTCACCTGGGAGAGGAGATGCAGTGAACTCATCCTGTGTGGTTAAGGGCACAAAGAGGGGAGGAAACCCCTCAGCACAGCCTGGTTCCTGAGCTGGGTTCCTCTTCCCAGTGCTGGACAGAAGCAGGTTTGGGGGAGGAACCATGATCAGGTGCTGCTCTGCTTTGTCAGGTGCTAAATCCCAGTAGAGTCCCACGCACAACTGGTTCTGTAGCTCCACCTGCTGCTTTCCTTGCTGGCAGAGCTCACGTTTCTGTGCTCAGGGTTCCTCAGGGATGCCTATTCCCTCTTCTTTCAGGGGCAACTTATGTAAATGTGGATACCCTGAAAATCAGCACATAGAGGGCACCCAGGTTAACACCACTGAGAAATGGAACTACAAGAAGCACACCAAGGAGCTGCCTACTGATGCCTTTGGGGACATTCAGTTTGAAAACTTGGGAAAAAGAGGAAAGGTAAGTGGAAATATTAAGGGTATTCATGAGGGCCCTGTGGAAGCTGCTCAAAAGCAAGGAAGGTGAAATGGATTTTATTCTGATGGCAGGAGAGAAGCTACAAAGGGCACAAGCTTGTTTTTCAAGCCCTGAAAATAGGTAACAAAGGATAATTCCTTCTGTGTTACTTGTTGGTTAGGCTGGTCATGGGACTGAAAAGAAAATCTCTTTCCAGGCATGGCAGGAGAATGGATGAATGAGAGTGAATGGATATAAAATAATCCCTGAATTATTTTATATCCTCATAGACCAGCTTGCTCAGGTCTATAAACAATTTAATATTGAATATTTCCCATGGTGGAGAGTTCCGGAAGAATGTAAGATTTCTGTGGAACTTCAAAAGTTTTATTCCATTTGTTGGGGTTTTTTTCCTTGTGTTTTTGCTCTGAGCGTGGACAGTGGAGGTGTGGGAAGAAGAAAATAGCTGCTGTTGCCGTTTTTGGTGATTTATACTGGTGCTTGTGAGGAGTCACATGTGGCTGAGCTCATCTGCCTCCTCTAAATGGCTGATATTTAACACCAGTGCAGGTTGCTTGGGACAATCAAAATAATGAGGAAAATCAGAGCCTGCTATGTAAATGAATTTGGTTTGTTTTATGCAAAGTAGCAGAAATAAGAGGCACTTGAGTGGGAAATGAGACTGCAAGTTTCAAATCAGGCTTTAACAGATCCATGTACTTCACATATTTTTTGATGTGCACGTTTTAGCTTTGTCCTGCTTTGTTGTAAGCTGCTGTGTGACTGTAATGGAACAGAAAGTGCTTTGCTCTCTTGCAATATTTCAAACTTCTCAAAGGTTAAATGTTCTTTCCTTAGGTTGTGTCTTCCCCACTTCCAACTCTGGGAATCAGTTCATGGGCCCTCATTTGTTTCATGTGGGCTCTCAAGGCCACTGTGCATATTTCAGAGCATTCTTTGTTCAAACACTGCACATAGGTCTCCTAGTCCATCCCACTGGAATGTTGGCTGGAATCACATTGTAATTCCCTGCTCTTATTCCCTACACAGCAAGGCACCTGCTGCTCCTGAAGATTGCCAAGTGTTTTCTATGGATGCACAGCAGGGAGAACTTCAAACTCAGGGTGACCTGAGAATTGCTGTCAATTACCAGTGAGGGATGGGAAGTTTTATACCCTGCACTGTGCTTCTTAGGACACACCAGTCCAGAAAAGTTCTGAGCAGAAATGAGACGTGAATAAACCCATAAAGAGGTTTGAGGACAGGCTGGGAGAGCTGGGGGTGCTCACCTGGAGAAGAGAAGGCTCCAGGGAGAGCTCAGAGTCCCTAAAGGGGCTCCAGGAGGGCTGGAGAGGGACTGGGGAAAAGGGATGGAGGGACAGGACACAGGGAATGGCTCCCACTGCCAGAGGGCAGGGATGGATGGGATATTGGGAATTAGGAATTGTTCCCTGGCAGGGTGGGCAGGCCCTGTCACTGCCCAGAGCAGCTGTGGCTGCCCCTGGATCCTTGGAAGTGCCCAAGGCCAGGCTGGATGGGACTTGGAGCAGCCTGGGATGGTGGAAGGTGCTCATGGCAAGGATGAGACTAAAGAATCTTTAAGCTCCCTTTCAGCCCAAACCACTCTGGGATTCTATAAAATCCCACCCTCTGTAAGTCCAACTTTTGAGCTCTTCGTTTCTGCAGTGCTGCTCATATCCTGTAACACCCACGAGCATTTCAGTCGCTGCATTTACTGTTCAGGGAGCCCAGAGCCCAGAAAGGCTTCCCGAATCCCATCCCTGGCTGGGAGCAGCATCCATCAGCACCACGAGATGGCATCCTTGCACTTCGCAGGAGAGAGGGGCTGAGCCCAGCAGTTCACCGGCTGCCCTGGAGCTGACACTTCGCTATGGGCAGGGTATATTTCCTGGTAGCTCCCCCCTCTCCTATAGGGGTTCCCCTCCAGAAAAACACCCAAAGCTTCGTGAGACTGAGGCTTCTCAGGGCAGAAGCTGTGTGAGTCCCTCAGCTCTCCTGTGTAGCTGCTGGAGCCTGCTCAGCATCCTCTGTGATGCCCTGAATGCTTTAACTCCTTCTGGGAACCTGTCTTGGAGCACAGGAATATTTTTATTCAAGTTCAGTGTCTCTTAGGTGGTGACATTTCCTTCTCGAAGTAATCCTTTCATTTTGCTCTCCTGCAAGTTCTGGGCAATCAACATTAAATCCTCTATGGTTCAGGTCCAAGCTCCTCCTTTTCATCTCCTGATTTGGCTTGTGCGGCCATGAATGTCTTCCAAAAGTGATGAAAAAGTGAAGGGGCTTTTAAATAGCAAAGCATGACAAGGCCAGAGAAGCTTTTAAATAAATGGAGACATGTTAAGTCTACCTGAAGCTAAATTATGTCTCTTAGGTGCTTTTTGGCATCTTTGTAGAGTGTTCAAGCTTTACTACAAATTTGATGTATTTGTTTTGTCTTGTACTTGAAGCACTGGAGTGGGTAAGTGTTGTGATAGGGACACCTCTCACACGGAGCCTGGAATTTATTTGAATAGTATAATCAAAATACAACTGTCATTATGATTATTAGTTCACTTTCAACAATGCTGCCTCTGATTCATAATCCAAGCTTTAAATAGCACCACTGGAGTTAGTTGCTGTAGTGGTGGTGTGTTCATCCTTGCAGAGCTCCTCTGAAGCCCAAGGTCATTGCTTATTGTGTTTGCTGAGAAATGCCCCAGTGAAGGCAGGAATTATGCATCTGACTCCATGTTCTCAGAAAACTAATTTGTTATTTTATAATACTATATTATATTAAAGAATGCTATACTATACTAAAGAATACAGAAAGGGCAATTACTGAATGCTAAAAAGATAATAATGAAAACTCGTGACTTTCCAGAGTCTGACACAGCTTGGCCCTGATTGGCCAAAGAGCCAAAACCACTCACAGCAGAACCCAATGGAACAATCACCTGTGGGTGAACAATCCCCAAACACATTCCACATGAGCACAGCACAGGAGAAGCAAATGAGATCAGAATTGTTTTCCTTTTCTCTGAGGCTCCTCAGCTTCCCAGGTGAAAAACCCTGGGTGAAGGGATTTTTCTGAGAATGTGAATGCCACAACTGCTCTTGCCCTCTCTAGAGGAAGCTGGGCTGGGTGCCTGGTTGTAGGTGAAGGATAAAGGTGCTTCAGGGGAAGAAACAAGGATTTCATCATCACCTTTCCTTTCATCTCCTGGCTGCTGGAAGGAGGCTGAGCAGCAGAGAAGAAAATGGTGGTTGTTCCCAGCCACCTCGATTTATCTCCTGTATGTTTGTTCTCCTGTTTTCTCTCCCCAAGTACATCCGCCTGTCGTGTGACACAGACTCTGAGACCCTCTACGACCTCATGACCCAGCACTGGAACCTGAAGACCCCCAACCTCGTCATCTCCGTCACCGGCGGCGCCAAGAACTTCGCGCTCAAGCCCCGCATGCGCAAGATCTTCAGCAGGCTGATCTACATCGCCCAGTCCAAGGGTGAGCACCTGCTGCTGGGCCTCTGCCCCCTCACTGCTGCACTGCAGGGCTGCAGGGGCAGCGGCTCCAAGGGTCTGGGGGAGAGCAGAGTGTTCATTTGGCTGCTGCACTTGTGATTAATTAAAAATATGGATGTTGATCTAGTACCGATATCCAACTGTGACGGACAAAGACTCTCTAGCAGTTTAAAGCTAGAAAGTGTATGTTTATTATGGGATAGCTCCCAAATACACACCACAGTTTACAGGTGATTACAGAGTCCTTTTATCTATACAAGTATTGAATACCCAAAATACAAATGTATATTCATAACTTTGCTGCATCCCATTCTCTGTTTCATATGGTAATTAGTTCAAATTCATTCATATGGTAATTAGTTCAACCATTAAGCTTGCATAGTTTGTTCCTTGGAATGGGTCAGTGGTCTCTTTCATGGGGAGGGGGTC